AAGAATTAGAATACTATTAATACATACCTTACTTTTGCTTCTTTCTCTTCTTTACAACTGTATCTCTAATCTGTTTGAGAGCATTCACACTGCTAGAGGTACTTGTACATTTATTTCTATACACATTCAGTACAATAATTAACAAGTAAGACTTTCTACAAGTCTTACAGAGAACCAGTATCTTAATAGACAGCTAGTATAACAATAATACTAAGATTGTCTAATAAAATTGACTAATCTGAACAACCTTCAGGATGAAGAATCAGTGTAGCACACTCTAGTTTGATTGATTCTCTAGTTAAATACAGAGAGTGTAAGTTTATGAGTTTGGCAGGTAAATTTTATAACTTAGACTTGAGCTCAGACTACAGTTGTTTTAAAGAATCTAAGGTTAATATGGTTCAACAACAGCTGAGAAAACTGTTTAGGGGACAGGGAACAAGTACAGTTGGTTAACATTAAACAAGAAATAATGTATATTAAAAAGACACACATAGACTTAGACAGTTTAATACAAGAGAGACTGAGAGTATACAGTTATATGACTGTAACCTTCTTATTTTGAGTATGTATATTACTTATTTTGGACTTTCTTGATTCATATCCTGCCTTACAAAATTCTCAATTCACATACTTAATGTTCTGCCCTACAAAATTGTCTACCCTTATCTTCTCCTACTACTGTATTTTACACTAACATTACCTTATTACACACTAGGTAAGTGTCATTATCTCCTTATTGTACTATCTACCACTCATATTCCTTCCTCTTACTTTCTCCTCTCTATCCACTATTCATCTTTGTGTACAACACTAGTATAGAGGGTAACATTATTACTACTCTACTCCTGGTTAGTACATTTCTACCTTGTCCTGAATGTGACTCACTAATACTTGCTAACAAATCCTTCCTCTTTCTCTAGGACTCACTCTTATTTTGTTTTCTAGTCTTGATCCATCTACATCTCAAGTAACACAAGTCCTAATACTGGCTAGTTCTAAGTATCCTTATTCTACACTACAAGCTTTATTGTTGTCCCTACCTCAACCCTCTCCCCCTCCTAACTAAGGTACACATCTAAGATCAGACTCAAGTGCTCTATTACTGCTAACAAGTAGTAATCTGCTAGCAAAGAGACAAAGGCTCTTTAGTGACAAAGAACTAGTTATATAGAGAGGACAAACAAAATCTGAGCTGTTAGTTGTTTTATTCCTCTGTTCTATTTGTCTGATACTCTAATGTACATTACTAGGCCTCCTGATGAAACATACACTTGAATTACAAAACTCGGCCAGTTTGTTAAGCAGAACATTAATCTTTGAGTCAATGTTCTTTGTACTGTAAACATAGGAACAGTAACTGAGTTCCTTGAAAATTACATAGAATCAGACAAAACAAACAGACCAAATGATGAGGGAGAGAATGAGAGAGAGGAAGGTAAGGAGAAACTTGAAGAGTATAAGGCTGAATACAAATGCAAGATTGTAAGAGTGTAAGTAATTGTCTGAATATATGTGTACTAAATAGTAATTGCTGACAACTCTACATTATTAGTAGAAACAAAAAAGATAACCTTGTAAGAGTTTACAAGGGCATCCATACCCTTCTTTGTAACAAGTAGTCTTACATTAAGGCTCTAGAGGAAGCTGAGTATTACTATCTCTAGTAAGAGGTATGTACTGTGTCTGTATTATTATTTCCTTCTTACACACAATACCTGTTACTCTCTACTTAAGGTGAACAAAGTAGTAAAGCAGGCACAAAACAATAATGTTACTAGTATTAAGGATAGTAGCCATACCTATGTGCTCAAGGACAGCTGGCCTAACCTGCCCATCAAGAACAAGAGTAACAAATCCAACTGTAGTACAAGCTATCCAGACCTTCTCTAGATGATTTTACTAATGTTGGTACTTTATAAACACAGCTAGGACACAAGGTAAGTGTCTTCTCTCTTAATCTTACCATTCTTCATACTCTCTGTAACTGTCTTTAACTTTACTAATACTTCTTTTTAGCTTTGTCAGTAATGTTAAGGCAAAAAATTACTAGATAACACACAACTCTGCCCCTGCTTTTCTTTACAACCTTGAAATGTTTGACTCAGAAATAAGGGACTAAGGCCTTTTCCAAGGATACTATCTGGTATAGGTGAGTATTTTAATCAATACTAATAATTATAGTCTACAAATAATAATGACTCTATACTCTCAGATTCTCTACCATATTTTCACCACTCCTACCTCTACAAAAGCAGAAGTAGGGATAAAAGGGAAGTTGACACAGTTAAACAATGTAAAAATTGCTAGCCTTACAGAAGTCACTCTAGAGATGATAGCTTATACTACTTGCCAGGTGAGTTTCAAACCAGAAACACTGTTCAACTAACTATTACTATTGGTTGCTTCCTTAATCCAAAGAGGAAACACTTCACATTCAAAGATTTCAACTAATGTTCATTTTATTGTTCTAGACACATTTTTTCATTTGCAAACTTGATACTTAGGGCTCTAACAATGAGAATTTCAACATTAAATTGTTCTACTACAGTATCCTCAACTACTTTAAAGATTGTAGCTTACTATGGGTCAAAGAAACTCTTGAATAGTAGAATAAGTATGTTTTCCACTTTTATCTTTTATTTATTATTATTATTAATATTACAAAATGTAAAAAGACAGGTATTTGGTGTGCTGGAAGAGCAGAGAAACAAAGAGCCTGACAAAGTTGATGAAATGTTGTTTACTATGCTTCTGAGGGCTTGAAAGGCTTGTGGAGGGAAGGGACTGGCCTAAGTAGAAGAACAGACTACTAAAGCCTAAGAAGAAGCCTTACAGACCTAAGAGGACTCACAATACAATAGTAACATGGCTGAGTAAGGTTTACATTGTCTACTACATTGGTTTGTCCTGGTTTCTTTCCTGTTATTAAATACTTTGACTTAACAACCCTAAAACAATTATAGGATTCAATTTCTTCAAGCTGCTGCCAACATACTCACAACTCTTAATGTTTTCTTGTTGTGTAAGATTCTTCACAACTGGTCCAATAACAACTGTACTGATCTCCTTCTTCTACAATGGCTCAGTTAAGTACTGTACCAAACTCCTTTGTAACTTTGGTTTCTTTGCTCTCACCAGCTTTATTTATTAATGATAGATAATAGAAATGTATATTAGCAAAATAATAGTAATATAAGCAATTAAAACTAAAATGCTCAAGTTGTAAGAGAGGGAAAGTACTATATATAAATACCTTACTTATAGTGTATTATAATCAATCTACATGCCTTGCAGTTCTCTTATAATTAAGTCAAATTCTTCTAATTATGTACAAGTGTTGAAATAAATTATAATCACTTTTACAGATTGTAAGTATTAAGTATAATTTCTTAGATTAATAATACTAGTTACAGCTTGTAATCACTTGTACAGATTGTAAGTACTGTATTATGATTTCCTGAACCAATTATAATAGTTACACCTTGTAATCACTTTTATAACTTGACAATTTATAAAATTATAATGGAAATTGCCAAGTTTTAAAAGTATTCTTACTTACTTATCTAACATTGTACTGTCATTACTTAACCCCCTAGGAAGATTATAAGTAATTGGACAAATTTTATAAAATATAAAAAATATACAAGATTACAAGCAAGTATAATACTTAAGACTTTTTCGTGATGAAGGGACCATCAGAAACAACAAAGGTATATAATTGGCTTACAAGGATTAAATTATTATTTTTCAACACATTTCCTTGAATATCCTTTCCCACACTTCTCCAGACCAGCTTTCCATCTCTGTATCATCTGGAAATCTTTCACGCAGATCTGTGTGATATTTGCGAATTTTATGGAAAAGGTCTATTGCAGCACGTTGCGATCGAATGTGATCCACCAAGAATTGTGAGTAAGTGTATGGCAGGATTCCCAGGAATATGTCCGGTTCGTCCTCAAATGCGTCCCATTCATCATCATCGTCAATGTCCCTAATTTCCCGACAGTAGAACATGCGTTCACCGATCCGAAACACTACGCGCTTATGGTTTGTCACATCGTATAGTATAGGAATTATATCACCTAGTGCCTGAAGCCGTCCTCTAGCGATATCCAAAGATGATTCAGGCATATATTCTTTCGCAAGGTGACCCCATCTTGAGAAAGGTGCAATCCAATCCCATATGCACTCGAAGTGTGTCCAATCATTTGACCAACCTGAGATTATTTGTCGTTCAAGCCTTGGATCAAACCAGTAGCGGGTTACTTCTTCGCGAACCGAAGGAGCCAGATCATCCTCAAATTCGTGTGAGGCCATTACTTCGTAGAAAACTGGAAGATTCGGAACCACCTCCGACTGTAAAATACACAAATGCATTTTTAAGTAACTGGAATCCGATGATTAGAGTATAACGTACCGATGAAAGCATCTGGTTCTCAGCTGGTAATAATTCTTCTTCCTTTGTGTATTCAGGAAGTTCCATGCAGATGCTTTCGCGTGTGATAACGTCCTCTTCCATAAAAGACGCGAGCCGTACATCTCCGAAGACTGTACCTATTAATAAGAGGCCCCTTCCATCATCAAATGCAAGGTCTGAGATTGTCTGCGAAAGCGGAAGACCATCTCTTAAGACTGGAACACAGCCATCAAGTTCGGTAAAAGGTTGGCAGTCATCCGTATTTCTTGGAAGACGAATGGGTATTGTTGACAGGTCAGGAAGGCTATGGCAAACGGATTGTGAAACCATAAAGAAAGCCCTCCGGCCAGATAAGCCAATAGCATATCGAACCAGTTCTTGAGACACAGATACGTATGGAGGAGCCCGATTCTGCGACTCAACAAGAGTGAATGTGGCTGGCTCCTTAGCCTCATCTCGTACAAGAACAGCCTGTCGGATAGCAGTGTCATAATCCTGGTAGTAAACGCGCAGTAGCACATCTGGAAGACCTATTTCTCGCGACTCGTCAACGGAAATGTCTGAAAAATGGCCTTTGCAGGCATCCCTTTTTAGAGATAGGGAGGATGCATACTTGGACCTGAGCTCCCTATCAGTCAGCAACAAGGCGAAGATATGGATTGCATATCGATGTAGAGTGAAGATATACCCGCTCTTGATAGTCATCGTAACACAAGGCTCCTAAATCAATGCGAGGCGTAAATTAATGTCTACTGCGCCGAGATGAATTAAAATACATACGAGGGGGATCGGCAAGGGTATCTGTGGAGCAGGTCTTGGTAATAGATATAGTCGATTCAAGTTCTTCGCTTTCAAATCAGCAATGTATGGATACTCGTCGTCACCCTTGTGAACGGCGAAGCCGATGAGGCTGCCCTGTAAGAAGCGGACATGCGAAACACCAGGCATGCAAGTAAGTTGACTGATCATCACTTCCCCCGCACGCTGAGATATGCGAATGATTAGTATATAAGGCGAACTTCATGTTACGGTAAATGATTTACGAAATACATGAGAGAAGAACGAAAACTTACGAAGCTCCTATGGTAATTGCACATTGCACCTGCGTCTCAGATTCATCCACCACTCCATCAATGACAGGTGCTTCCACGAATTTCCTTGCAGCAAGCTTCATTTCTCCTTTCAGCGGTATTTCCCATATCATAAGTTCGCACCTATTCACGTCTGCTGAAGCAACAAGAGCCCAACGTCCACGGATCAGTCTAAGCCATGTTATTGCTAGACCGTGGCTATTTGTGACCCTGCGTACGTGAAGCCTTCTCCGGACCGTAGCAAAATTTCTGTCTAACGAAACTGCATGTCTGACCCATGACTCAATGTCGTGTGCTTCAACGTCCTTGATGCAACGTAAATAATGCGGGAAAGGCAACGAGTTTCGTATTACGTGTTGTTTGAACATGTGAGTCCAAAGCTGTTTGTTGCTCGAAATACAAGACGAAAATGTAGAACATGTCTGCAAAGCATTATTTTGTCAGAGTGAGCCATTTGATGTGAGGCTGATGACATACTTGTCGCAGACGCAAAATATCACAGAGAGTGAGCTTGGAGAAAATCAGATAGTGAATATCTTGAGGCAACGTTAGAATATTTTGCATCATAGCAGATCACTATAGCGGAGCTCGTCGTGTTTTTGAACCTCGGGCGTGAAGCGAAAAGAGGATGCGGAGTTGGTGGTGGTGAAATACGAGGCGTAGTGGTGGTCCGACGACCGACATGGCCGAAGAACCCGCTTTTTGCACTGGCAGTCAAAAATTCAAAAACAATAGCCTCAACTCTGAAACGGCGATCAAAATAGATCTACAAACAAACAAACGCGTTGCTTATTCAGCGTCCAACATTCTCTCATCAAATACAATAGACATTCATTATTGTTTTTGGCCCAGTGGGATCCTCTACTGACTACTTCCGCTGTTGGGATTTTACAGGTAGGCCATTTTTCGAGCACAAAGTAAAAGATGGCAGATATTCCATGGAGAAACCTGCTTGAAACTCTAGGTCGTATCGCTTGAATAGAGTCGCGAGAGTCAAGGACATCTCAAGCATAGCTAGTCCTTCTCCTACTTGACTGTGAGCATTTTCAAAAAAAAAAAGATCATTCAGCTTACCCAGGCATTTACGAGGTCCATAAGAGAATGGGAAATAAGATCCTGGAAGGGGTGCTTTCCCTGTTTCCCAACGCTCAGGGACAAACTCATCTACGTCTGCACCCCACAATTGAGGATCACGGTGCACTGTACAATATTAGACAAACATCTACTGCTCCATAGAGGTACGTACCTTGCGGGTTCCATAACGCGAGGGTCGTGTTCGCTGGCAGCGTCACTCCGTTAATCTCCGTATCCTTTGGTGTATACCTGAATGTTCCGAAGCCAGGTCCGTTATGACGAAGTGTTTCCTTGATAATGAGGTGAAGATATCGTAGGCTTGATACCTGTTCGATTGTAGGAATCTCGCAATCCGGAGGAAGTACTTCGTCGAGTTCTGCACGAAGCTTGGCGAGGACCTTTGGTTTCTTGAGCTGCATGCCATAGTCGGAAGGTTAGTAAGGGAACAATCGTGAATTGGGGATTACCTACAATTTCGTTGACAGCGAATGTCATCGTATGTGCAGTTGGATCACCTCCAGCTACAAGGAAGGTCACTTGTCGTCTTGTGAGTTGTCCAGATTCTTGATGTATGAGTTTCGAGACTCACCGTAGTTATCAACCAACTCTTCAGCAGAGAATAAATATGTACCGTCCGCGCGGCACTGTCTGAGTACGTTGTCAGCTATGACAACTAAGATCGGAAATCCGGAGGGCCTTACTGGGCAAGAATTTCGAAAATCCTTTTACTACCAGACGCAATGTCTGCCTTGTTATCCGCCGACCTGGCATCTTCAACGGAGTTGTGAGCCATGGCTCGTAGTTCCCGAATCCCCCGATGCATGCGTCTTGTACTGTCCAAGATGGGAACCTTTGCACGAAGCGGGAACAGACCACACTTCATCAACTCTGGAAGAACATCATGGAATATTTGCAAGATACGACAATCCGCTCCGTCTCTAATTGCATTTAGCTCGGTTCCAAAAGCTACGTCGCCGACAAAGTCGAGGGTCAAGAGGACATGAAGAGTTGAAAGATCGACGGAAGTTCCTCGCTCTGCTGCTTTGTCGATTTCTTCTACAAATTTCTGCGATGGAGGGGATGAGTGCTTCGTAAGTGTGCTTTGTGTTTAAAATATCCTTACCGTCAGATATTTATGCAACGCCGAATATTGGTTGCTGACCGTTGCAGGCTGGAACGCTGGAGCTAGTCCTTTGCGTTGCTGTTTCCATCGCTCCTGGTCCATCTGAGCGAACAGTGCCGATCCGCTCAGTGGCTTGAAGCCAGAGTACTGGGCCGGAAACTTGGGCCAATTGCTGTTTGCGATCTTGCTGATAAGGGTCGGATCTCCTATATAGACAACACGAGAGAAGAGACCATTCCACTATCATAACGGCGGATTAAACATGAGTTATGTGCAAGAGGAAGGAGGGAAATCAACTGACTGTTTGGAAGACAGGTCCGTACGTTCTATGCCATGCTCGCCACTTTTCGTGAACATCGTCGGTCATCGTTTCGGAGAGATTTCCCGACCATATGCTGGATATCGGAGGTCCAGGGAACTGCCGACGTGCTCTGAGGTACGAAACGAAGAATAGAACGGCTTTCAAGGCAAGGATGGCGGAGATGCATGCGAAGACCTGAGTTGGCCCGAGGATCTGCCTAACGTCGACTAGAGATGGGCGTATTCCATTCATTGCTCCTGGATAATTTTCTGGGAGGTGAAAGCTCCCGGCTTATTTTAAAGACAAAATAGTTTACCTCAATAACATAACACACCCTCTTTGTCGGAGGACAAAAAGGGCAAAGTTACAGAAAGCGGAGACTAGAACCGCATCAAGACCTTCTGTGTTGCGCCACTCCAGTATTCAGTTTGAGTTGTCAAGCGAATATGTATTGCGAGTGTCGGCTGAAACATAGAAGATCACGAAAAGCAAAAGTTCCAAGGATTTGGGTATTCGTACATCCGGGAATTGTAGACCTGGATGAGTTGATTTGCTTACAATCACTGAAATTCAGCCAAGTTGTAGTGGAGTGGCACTGCGAACACTACGGGATATTGATCCATTAAAATTGCTCACGACTCCCAGTAGAAAGCCGAATCATGCTTGCGCCAGTTATCCACGTCGATGGTCAGAACAACCGCTCTGTGGCACTGCACTCGCCTTGAACAAATATTTCCGCTGTTTCAAGGAAAGCTGTCGCTAAATGCTACGTCGGGTATGGAAATACGAAAGCCAGAGAAGAAGAGAGCATTGCGGTAGCGGAACGGGTGATGCCTAGAACCGACACGAAATCATTGTACATATGTATGTTGCCACATTCGGAATGCCTTCAGCGCCGCAGGCAAATCGTCGACGTTTCAGAGGCCGTCCGGTGGATTGAATGTGATTGGAGCATGTGGTGCCGCCGGAAGACAGTTGATGCTATCCTCCGCGACTGTGCCTCCGTGAGAATTTGCTCGGCGATCCGGAACCAATTTTAGTTCCTTTCCCGCGTCAAAGTCGGAGATGAAGACCACAATATTTTTCGGTGTTTTCACTCCTTTCGTCACTACTCTCCCTCTCTCACCCATCTCAGCTCAAGAGCCTGCCGAAAAGCAGAACAATGAAGGAGCAAGAGAAGACCGCCTTGGAATCATCTCCTCGCATGACCTCGCGAGAGGGAAGTATTTCCTCAAGTAGCGAGACGCGCGTTGCGGAACATCTCGACGACGCAGAATTTCCGGAGGGTGGATTTCGTGCTTGGATGGTCGTACTTGGATCCTTTCTCATCTACTTTGCATCTTTTGGAGTAATAAACAGCTTCGGAACATTCCAGGTAATAATAGATAGTACTGTTTGCTTCAAGCAGCGACTTATGCTTTTTACACGTTCTCTTGTAGGAATTTTATATCAGCGATTTCCTCTCGAACTACTCTGCAACTGTGATCGCATTCATCGGTTCACTTCAAATCACCCTTCTTTATGTATCTGGAGTTGTAATTGGGCCAATATTTGATGCCAAAGGCTTTAAGGTACGAATAAACACTCCATTCGTCCTTGTTGTTCATGGACTCATTCTTACATACGTATTTTTCTTTTTGCCAATGTTCAGTACCTCTATCCAATTGGAATGCTTGGAAGCATAGCCGCACTAATAGGACTCTCATTCACACGACCCCACCAGATTTGGCAGCAGTTCCTTTCTCAAGTGCGGATTTTATTCTACAAAATTCTCCTTTTATGCACTCAGGATTTCCTTTGCAGGGCGTCCTCTTCGGGTTTGCCGTTGGATGCGGATACTATCCTGCACTATCAATTGTCGGTCATTACTTCCAACGTCGCAGGGCTCTAGCAATGGGAATAGTCGCCGCTGGGAGCAGTGTGGGAGGCGTCTGTTTTCCTATCATGTTCTCCAGACTGTTCCAAACGATCGGTTTCGGTATGTCTCAGCCTTTGTTAATGGACTTAACTCATCTGGTATTATGTATTGGTATTAGCTTGGTCGGTAAGAGTTGCTGCTTTAATTACGCTGTGAGTAGTCACTGTCCATTGGATTTCTTTATTCCTTTCGTTATTTTGCGACGGCTGATACTTATGTTGAACCTACAGGTTCTGTTACTCTGTTGCGATGCTTATTTCAAGGACTAGATTGCCGCTGAAACCGTTCAAAGGACCCAGAGCCCTTGTTGATTTCGGAGGATTCAGAGATCCTCGTTACGCTGTGCTCGCGTTCGGCTGCGTACTCGTGAACCTTGGGCTATATTCGCCATATTATTACATAGGTAAATGATGAAGAATGTTGCACCTTCTTGTCACTAATTACCCCAATAGAGCCTTTTGCCGTTCTTTATGGAGTCTCCGACTCCATACATCCGTTCTTACTATCCATGATTAATGGAGTGTCTTTCTTTGGGCGTATCATGTACGTGATCTCGCACCCATTAATCTTCACTTTGCTAAATTGAAGATCAATAACCGAACTTGATTAGTGGCGGTCAATGGGCGGACAGATATGGACGCTTGAATATCTTGTGTCCTGCTACTCTCATCTCCGGGATACTATGCCTTGCCCTTTGGTTACCCTCAAGAGGCGCCGTGTCATTCATTATCTTCGCTTGTCTTTATGGTATGCCGCCTTCATAACTCTGAACAGCGACTTCTTTTCATGCCTGTTTAATTTTATTAGGCTTTTTCTCCGGAATCTTCATCTCGGTCTCGTCCGCTGCAGTGGGCCAGATATCTCCAGGTATGCGAACCCAAACCCTGAAACTTTTACACACACACTAATCATGAATTCTTGACGATAGTGGACAAACTAGGCGCTCGGATTGGGACTTTCTTTTTACCTACTGCCGTTGCGACGCTCGTCGGTACTCCTATTGGCGGTGCGTTTGTAAAGACAGGCTCGAAAGAAGAATACCATCACGTCGCCATTTTTGCGGTACGTACATAGCCGGTATTTAAAGCTATCAACTATTGTTGACGAATTCATTTGTTGACTTGTAGGGAAGTATGATTGTCGTTGGTAGTATTTTGCTTTACATTTCCCGTCTCTTATGCTCGAAGGACATCAGGGCAAAATGGTAAAAGAGTGTTGAGAATGCATTAGAGCCGGTAGTAGCACAAGCGAGGGTCACATGTTGCACATAATTCATCGTTCTTCATAGACCAATCAGATTGGTTGGCTATTATCGTATGTTAGTATTATCATTCGCACAATGAATTCGTAAGAAGCCGAGACATCACAACAGTATTATGGTTAGTGTGAAGAGAATAAAGTACGGCGGGCTATAGACTAGACTACCAAATCACCTCTGAGGCGCTAGAAATTATGTATAAAGGAGTGACAAAGACGTGAGTACGATATATCCAAAAAGGAAAGGTACAATAGGATAACATAGTCCAAGTCCGTGACGCTGTCGTGAAACAAATAAATACCATATACTAATTGTCCGATCGTAAAAAAAGACTAGATGAAGATGATCTTGCCCCCAGAGCCCTTAGTTAATCTCCTGTTCCTGGGAGTTGAAAGGGAACAGGAGAATCGCCATGCCCGCAACAGTGTCGGTGTCGGTATCACTCGAAGACCCATTGGTCTTTGAAACTAATGCATAGACTGTGCCCTCCAGACCATCAGGCAAAGCGGCTGACCAGGTTCCATCTGCATTGCTGGTAAGCGGAGCGAAGAGCTTTCGCAGACCAGTAAGCAACACAAGGAACAAAGGTGCATTGGCATCGGTCTGTGTAGCACTTGCGGCGTTACGATCGAAGGACAGTGTTATGGTTCCACCGGACTGATAGGACGAGCTCGTGACGTTAAGAGGAGGAAATGCGCTGGCATTTAGGGATGGATTCGTGCTTGGACAGGAAGTAATGAAGCCCGTGGCGAGGGAGAAGGCTTGTCTCATGTCCAATGGCGTCTGTGATTGTTGTTAGAGACTGGATACAAACGAAATTACGGCAACTTACCTCGAAGGACGTTGACCATGGGTTCTGCTTCTTGATAGCTGACATGACGAAAGCTGCCTGACGTCATCAGCAAAAAGTCTTAATACTTGTATTAGTATATATAGTAATATATTTTATAAATTTTGTAAATTTTGTACAAGTGAATATATCGGAGTAACTTTTATATATAATAGTATAAGAGAAAACATGAGTACCACATTTCCTATTAGTATTCTCAAGATATGTGGTTCTGTTAAGAGGGAGAACTTAAGGGGGGCACGCATAGACAAGGGGTGAGGTGACGATTGACCGCTCAGTGTCTCTCGTCCTTATATTGTATGTATTCTAACTGAGACATTATGAAGTCATTGTCTCATGGTTCGTCCGTTAATGAACTAATCATCTCATAATACTCCCCTTCAAACTCTTACTAGTCTGAGTAAACTGGTAAGATGTTTGACTTGTGGTACATGTAGTGCTTTAGTTAATATATCTGCTCGTTGATCGTTCGTCTGTATGTATTTCGCATTTATGTACTCTAACTCAATGTAGCATTTAATAAAATCTTTCTTATGATCTAAATGCTTTGTTTGTTCCGAATATTTGAGTTCGTCCAATGTAACCATTTGTATAACAGCATCGTTATTGCAATAGATATTAATTGGTGTATCAGAGACCTGCAGAATCTCTTCAGCTAAATGAGTAAGTGCAATTGCTTCCTGTGTTCCTCTTACAAGAGCTATTAATTCAGCTTCATACATTGAATTTGCCACCAGTGTTTGTCTTTTACTTGACCACAAAACTAATGAATCACTCAAGTAAAATGCATATCCTGATATTGCACAATGCTCTTCTTGCATTATACTGTCTGCATCTGTATAGCTGTTCAATATTGATTGATTTGTACTACTGAGTTGGAGCCAGACATCACTCATAGTTTTTAAGTACATGTAACAATGTTTAAGTGCCAGATAATGCTCCATACCAGGGTCATTGAGGTATTTTACTAACTGATTTGTTGCAAATGCTATATCTGGCTGTGTACAGTCTGCAATGTATCTAAGTGCACCAACCATGTTCATGTATAGTATATTAGACATTTGTTTTCTATTGTTATCAGTTTACAATACTGTTTTTAATTGTGTACCAGGCTGTATGAGTGTTTGTACACTTTGTTCGTTTGTAAGTTT